GGGCACACCCACAACTCACACGACCGTGCAAGTGACCACTTTGGCCGTGTGAGATTGTGCGAGCCTTCACACGGCTTGCCCTGATATCCACACGGCCGTGTGAAGGAGTGCTTTGGCCGTGTGGAATTCTGCGAGGCTTCACACTGCCAGGCATGGTGATCCACACGGCCGTGTGACCCTGGCCGTGTAGGTTGACTGAAGTGCAATTAATCGGAATGCAACATTTTGAAGTCACACGGGCAACTGGGTATGCCACACGGCCGTGTGGCCCAGCCCGTGTGAGTCGGGAATTCCTGGTTTTAACCCAATTCGGGCTGCAAGAGAGAGGATCGGACTTTTTGAGCAAAAATAGAGCCCTAGAGAGAGAAAGTACGAAGAACACATCCTAGAAGCTATCTTGGAGCTGGGTTTCATCAAATCAAGCTTGGAGATCGTCATAGGAGTGGAAATCATCATCCCAGAGCAGATTCTTCCCATTGTAATGAGTATGACTGCTTTGTACCTTGTTTTCCTCTCTCTCTCTATGGAGTAGAACCCCTCTCTCACTTGGGGATGAAGAACCCTAGTTCTATGTGTTAGGGATTGATTGTAATGACTTGGGATGATATTACTGTTTGATTTTAATCGAATGATGCATGTGTATTTAGTCAATTGAAGTCTGATCAACTTTTCCTGATTCCTGCTGCAATCTGAGATAGATAGAATCTGATTAGGTTGCTAGAGTCTCATCATTCGGTAGTAGGAGATTGGCTATACGAGAGTTGGCCAGTTTACTGCTTTGTACTGGAATCCAATTCCAGTAGTGGAGTTCTGTTCTTATTGCTTCAGCTTTCTATCCCGGTGAAGACTAGTCGTCTGCCGGGTAGTCAGACTGAGAGGGCTTGGTCAGCTTAAGAGATTCCAAGATACTGTCGGATCTTCCGAAGTCTAATCAACAGTAAATCAACCCAGGGAAATACAATTGAAACCTAACTAAGGAGCTAGGGGGACTCATTCCCGAGTGACTCTTACCTGCTTGAGAAAACCATATCAATTCCTGCTTTCTTTCTGCTTTTGCTTTTAAACAACAATCACTTACTTTAGTTGGCTAGATAATAGAGAATCACTGAGTAAGAAGTAGATCTAGACCCCGGGTTGATAATATAACTTGTCACTTTACTACATTCCCGGTCTGCGATTACACTTGGTCGCAGATTGGTGTTGTGTTTTAGCGTGTCACTCACTCTAGAAATCTGAAGAAGAAGTTTCTCACACTAGGTATCTCTCCTTTTCCCTTCAGCACAACCTCCTTTCTATAACCGGATCGGGCTCAGATCATGGTCCTAGTTCACGACCGTGAACTGAAAGCCCGGACCGTGATCTCAAGTCAAAACGAGCCGCATCACTAAGTCATGTTCACAGGCAATGGCCTGAGTTCACGATATTACGACCGTGAAATGACTTGAGTCTAGTGAAAGCGATTTATGCTCTGGATGCCTGAATGTTCACGGGTAGCGCCTCCAGTTTACGGTCTTAGTGACCGTGAATACACCGCCCAAACCGTGATCTGTTGCTGCTTCCACCCTTTGACTTGATTTTTCGACCTTTCGTCCAACTTTTGACTCCGGGGTTGGTTCCACCTGCCACACTCTTAGAAACACCAAAACAAGAAAAAACCCAGCGTAAAACCAAACCTTCCAGAGTAAAAATGCTTCAAACGACTAAGCAAACCGGGGGTAAAAAGTGCACAAATGAGCCTGAATCACTCCCCCACACTTACACGTTTGCTTGTCCCCACGCAAACCATTTTCAACCAAGGTGATATCTCAACCTAACAAAATAACTTGGCGACAAATCAAAAGGCACAAAGCGGTGAATCTCAATGACTATTGGGCATCGACGCATGAACCGCCTCAAACAATACCAACATCCACCACAAACGACATTCGATTGCATCAAGTATGGGAAAATGGAAAGTTCTCACCCTGTTCACAAATCAATGCAAGTCTCGACCAGACTACTCACCAACCACACCTAACCATGAATAAAACTCAAGACCAAGGAAAAAATGACGGGGCAACATAGGTCCTCACAGGGGTAAGATATGAACATGCAAAACAAGAATGAATCACTCACTATCGACTAGTGGGGTGCGGACCTTTTGGTGCAAAAGACGTGCACAATCATCAACAATCAGCCCTATCGTCTCTCAACCACGGAGAGAACCTCTAAATGGTAGACTTCACTGGACGATTGTCCTCACTAGCTTGTCCGGAGGTCTTAGACACGGGTTCAAATGAATGGCAATTGTCTTGGACATGGGGAAAAGGATTTTTAGGTGGTGGCAAATATGGCATGAGGTCCTACATCTTCAACCTAAAACCAAAGCTTCTATGGTTTCGACTAAGAACTTTTCTTACAATCGACGACCACTAGCATCGGCCAAAAACCACACTTCCCTTCTTCCGAACCACTACCAATCACGAACTACATCCTGCTATTCACATTTCAAACCTAGCAGTGAAGGAGGCCATCAAACAATTTAGGTGTTTCAAGGGCTTGAGTGGCAAGATACCCTTTCTAGAGCATACACTTAGACTTTTGTGGCCACTCTCTACTTTTATTTACCCCGTTTTATTGCCTCTTCCTTTCCTTTCCTTTCTTTTTCTTTTTCTTTTTCTTTTTTTCTTTTTTTTTTCTTTTTCCGAGGCGAGTACTTTAGACTGCAATGCATGCCACGTATCCTTAAATGAACAATACTCTCCATTAAGAACTTTCTTCCAACACTACCTTCTCATTTCTAACAAGAACTGTGCAAAACCACTTATGTAGAACCTCAATGGAGCTCAAAAGCGAGAAATCCGAGACACAAGGATGACTCACACTTTGACACAAAGAAAGGATGGGGGGGGGGGGGTCGTTCTTTCAATCGCCATTAAGCTCAACAAGCACGAAGTTCCTAGCATTAGAACTACCATCAAAGTCACACGACTCAAAGGGGTTGACTAGGGGATAAGATGTTTCGGGACAATCAACTTTTGGGGCGTGGACTAATCCTATGCCTTCATCATACTCACTAGTGACAACGGTTAATGTTACACACCATGGCGAGAGGGATCTATCAAACATGAATAAGACGATCGACACAAAACTCACATGACTACCTAGCCGCTCAATAATCTATTCCAATTTCATAAACTTCAATGCATGGCAATTGTAATCAAGAAGTAACCAAATCAAGACATCCATTCATTTGAGCACACATGAGAACTAAGCTTTTGCTCAACCCTAATGCATTCTCAGTCATCATAATAGGATGCACTCAATTACATGCAAAAATTCAAGATCGATGCCAAATAAGCACAAGATTCACTCACCAACCGACCATTTTGATCATACATTGCTTGGAGCCCTCAATTTTTCAAATTTGGGCATACATCAAGGCTCCAAGCATTCAATCACACACACATGCATAATAATAAACTACCCCCACAATTAAGCTCGACATTGCCTTCAATAGCGTAAAATAGGGGGGTAAAACGATGTTACCGCATGACTTGGTGAATGAAAGTTGGAGAATTTCCTGGGGTAGGATGTTTGAGCTCCAAAGGAAAAACAAAACAAAACACACGCACATTCTCGCCCAAGGCGAGGTTATTACACATAACAAAACACAAACACCCTAACCCTGTCGGGTACTGCTTTTACTAAAATGCCCTTGACAAATAAAATACTCAAATTTTAAATTGCAGCGGGAAAATTTTTCATAAATAAAATACTGAAAACACACTTGTAGTTCCGAGCAAAGCCCTAACACGTGGGCAAACTAAACTCAAACTTTAAATCTAAATATGATCTCCAGTCCATACTCATAATCATAAAATGCAAATAACTAGGTAGTCTCTACCGTTGCTGATACTGGAAATCTTAACTAGGCATCCTCCGTGGCGCTTGCACTGCCCTCCTCTAGCCGATTGCTCTCCAACTTTTCCTCTCAAACTCGCTGCTCTCTAACTACTCCTCTAGCTAGCTACTACCGATCTGGTTCTCACTCATTCCCTTGCTAAGGCCTGGTGAGTGAGTTGGGGTCAATCTACGCCCTTACGTTTTAAACTTTCTAATAATTTTGCACTTCTTCTCAAACACTTAAACTCAAACTGAGGGAAGTTGTTTGAACTTCCATTCTTAAAAATCTTAACTCTTAAAACTGTATGGGAGTAACTGTTACTCTCCACTCTTAAAGCTTAAATCTCAACTTAAATACTTGACTGACACTGGGATCCCCCACTAGCTAGTCCGGTTGCCAATTCATACGTATGAGAAGCCATCAAGGCATTCCTTAAACTTAAACTTAGTTAGGGAAGTCGTAACGATTCATCCCCCTAACATCTTAAACTTATCGTGGTGGCTCTTCACCATGATTCTCAAGAGCATAACTGCTGCTCATCTTAAAAGTCTCAAGAGCATAACTGCTGCTCTATCTCAAAGATCTCAAGAGCATAATTGCTGCTCTATCTGGAAATCTCAAATGGGAACGGACTGACGCTAATGACTAAAAACACTTAAAAGGACTTCACCTTCTTTAAGGTGAGTTACTTCTTTAAAATAACTTGTTTCTTACTCTTTAATAATAACTTATACTCGTAAAAATTTCAAAGTAATTAATAAACATTCACCTCAAGCATAGCTCAAACAAAATCACCTCAAATAGCAAAAAATCATCTCAAACCATAACTCAAGCAAAGCACAAATAATCAATCATACACATAACCAAGCAACGGCAACCAATTCGCTAAAATACTTAAAATCATAATACTTAAAAGAATAGATAAGGCGTAGAATTTACCCCCTTTACACTCACCTTAAGATCAAGTCGATCGGCTTGAACTAACCACCATCCAAAAATTGGTCGACTTAGGGTCATCTCCCTTTGTTTGAACCCTGCACGTAAGCTTCATTCCCCTGTGTGCTTCCAAAAGCACTTCACTTTGGCCCATACACCTCAAGCTTGTCCATTTTATTTAAGCAACCTGCTTCTCTGCTTCCACTTCCATTTCCATGCATGTGATAATGTCCACATGACCAGTAGCTAAACTACAAAAAAACCCCAACTTGCTTCCGTGACACCAGGAACCCCAGCCACCTAATAGCTTGCGCTTGAGATTGTAGCGATGCCAATCGGACTTGTAATGGAGCTTTTGCTCGGCATCGTCTTTGAATTTTTTGTTGCAAGAGTTGCAGGTTAGGCCCGTCATTTTGGCACTCACCGGCGGGATCGAGATTGACAGAAGTGAGAGACGAAGAGAGTATGTAATAGGAGAAAGAGAAAATCGAAAAAGGAAGGCGCCGACGGCAAAGCTTATAGGACTGGCGGGCGGCGGCTCCTTAGTCGGTTCCAAACGGTGGGTCGACCTGTCTGTAGCAGTAGAATCATTTTCACTATTTTAGGGTTTCGGTTCCGATGCAGTTCACAGGGAAATGGTTTTAGAGTTGTCGAGTGAGGAGGTAGGGTTAGGGTTTAATTGTGTCGGGTTAATTTGGGAATTTCCTAATTACGGGTGAGTATCTCAAAACAGTTTTTGCCTTAGGAAAACAGGCTTTATAACATCTTTGAGCCCTTCGAAAATGGTCTTCTTGGTTGATTCGAATTCAACCAATTCCTTGCCTTTGTAGAATAAAACTTCTTGTTTCACCTCCAACTCGAACCAGCCTTAGATCATGCTCCAAACTCCAGATAAAGGCTTTCAAAGTTGGTATGTCAAAACAGTTTTTTCCTTAGCCAAATTTAGACAGTTTTCCTGTTTTGAGGTAGCCTTTTGATGGGCTTTGAAGTGACCTTCCAGACATCTCCTTGAGCTCCAAAACATACCAATGTAATCATAATAACATTATCTTCAAAACAAGCTCTTGCTCTCCCATTTTGATTGAGCCATTTGTGAGACTGTTTCAACACTTAGCCAAAAATTAGAATTCTTCAAGTGAGTTGAGATGACTTCTTTGGAAAGTAATTGTGAAATGTGGATTGATCCAATTTGGATCATATCAAGCTCTCCCTCTTCAAAAAGCTTTGACCTCAAAGCTTGAAGCTGTTTCTTGTCAAAAATGTCACAAAATTCCTCCCAAATCGAGTCACGAAATAGGTACCTCGAACTTGCAATTTCGGACTTCAAATCGTCGTTAACTTGTGATCTTGCAGCTGCTTGCAACAATTTGTGCTTCATCAAATTCGTGAGACTCCAATGGACCTTCCCCACACAAAAAATTCGCTCAAACAAACCCAGAACACAATTTCCAGATCCCGGCGATAAAATCCCAGAATCCGGCGAGCTAGAATTTTCCGACGAGGCCTTCAAATTTGGGAATTTTTCTTCTAGGCTACCATAATCCAATCCAAGGCTTTCGTCATTTTCGTCTCTCTTCCAGGAAGTGAATGGAACCTTTTCCAGGCTTCTATCTTGCTCCAATCGAGCCCAATCATGACGCCTTCTTTTCCCGCCATCGGGAATTTCGAAAATTCCAGAATCCGGTGAGCCAAACCCAAAATCCGGCGACACAAACCCAGTTTCCGGCGAGCCAAAACTCAAATTGGGGGTGTCAAAAATCGTCTTCCAGCGAATCCACTCCAGGGTTGTCGAAAATCGTCATGGATGCATTGTGCTTGCTCAAATCGTCCCCCATGTCGCTGCCCGATTCTTTTTCTCCTCTGCTCGGCTCTGCCGTCGACGAACAAGATTCTTCAGTTCTGTTCAGCGTCGTTGCTGAATCAAACTTCCACGACCATGGCTTTGCCAGCAGTGCCTTATGATACTCCTCCTGGAGTCTTCGTACTTCTTTCACATCTCCAAAAGCTTCCTCCGTACCTAATGGATTTAATACAAAAATTTTGTTTCGTTTCCCGACACTGAACTTTTTGCTCCTTCGGCTAACTAGCTCCACCTTTCGATTTTGAAACCAAGGCTGCCCCAACACGATGTGGCTGGGCAGATTATAAACCACGTCACAAATAATCTTGTCTTCGTATTGTCCGATAAAAAATTCCACAGCTACTTGGGAGAATACGAAATTGGAGTGTCCATCATAAGGCGATTGAAAGGTATAGACTTCGATAGTGGCTGTGTTTGCAGCCCTAGCTTGCTCACAGTCCTAGAGGAAATCAAATTCCTCTCCCTGCCTCCATCAACAAGAACTGAACACGTTTTCTGTTGGATTAAACAACGCGTAAAAATCATCGAACGTGCTAGCTCCTCGGTATCCATAGTACTCTGTTTCGTACTGAATTTTTGTACGAAACTCAGCCTTCAATTTCTTCTCGCCACTGACTTTAACCGGAAGCTCTGATACCACTTGATAAAGCACCAGGGGGTGCTTTGTTTGATCAGAATACGCAGCTCAGAACTCTTCTACGAAAGATAAACCGGATAGGTAGAATTTCGCCACAATCAAGGTGATTACTTGATTGATAAGAAACTTGTAAAACGAATCTGGAATCCTCAGAGAAAAGCCTCACAAGGGTTTTCGAATTAGCAATGGAATTCCTCACATGACTAACTCAAGGGTTTGATTCTTGAGAACTCTCAAAGAATACAATTCTCACAAAGGAGCAATTTTCATTCAACTAAAACTTAGATCCTTTACAACATGAAATTGAAAGCTATTTAAAGACAATAAAAACCTAATACAAACCTAATAGAACTAGGAAACTAATAAGAACAGAAAAAGGCTAAAGAATTCGGGTAAAACAAGGTAACTTGCTGGCCAAGAAACTGACTTAAATCGCAAGCAAGTCTGTCTAGGACAATAGGCTTCATAGCATCTTTGAGCCCTTCGAAAATGGTCTTCTAGGTTGATTCGAATTCAACCAATTCCTTTCCTTTGTAGAATAAAACTCCTGTTTCACCTCCAACTTGAATAAGCCTGAGATCATGCTCCAAACTTCAGATATAGGCTTTCAAAGTTGGTATCTCAAAATAGTTTTCTGCCTTAGCCAAATTTAGACAGTTTTCCTATTTTGAGGTAGCCTTTTGATGGGCTTTGAAAGTGACCTTCCAGACATCTCCTTGAGCTCCAAAACATACCAATGTAATCATAATAACATTATCTTCAAGTGAGTTGAGATGACTTCTTTGGCAAGTAATTGTGAATTGTGGATTGATCCAATTTGGATCATGTCATTCTCAAACACTTAAACTCAAACTGAGGAAAGTTGTTTGTACTTCCATTCTTAAAAATCTTAACTCTTAAAACTGTATGGGAGTAATTGTTACTCTCCACTCTTAAAGCTTAAATCTCAACTTAAATACTTGACTGACACTAGGATCCCCCACTAGCTAGTCTGGTTGCCAACTCATACGTATGAGAAGCCATCAAGGCTTTCCTTAAACTTAAACTTAGTTAGGGAAGTCGTAATGATTCATCCCCCTAACATCTTAAACTTATCATGGTGGCTCTTCACCACGATTCTCAAGAGCATAACTGCTGCTCATCTTAAGATCATAATACTTAAAAGAATACGTAAGGCGTAGAATTTACCCCCTTTACACTCACCTTAAGATCAAGTCGATCGGCTTGAACTAACCACCATCCAAAAATTGGTCGATTAGGGTCATCTCCCTTTGTTTGAACCCTGCACGTAAGCTCATTCCCCTGTGTGCTTCCAAAAGCACTTCACTTTTGCCCATACACCTCAAGCTTGTCCATTTAATTTAAGCAACCTGCTTCTCTACTTCCACTTCCATTTCCAAGCATGTGATAATATCCACATGACCAGCAGCTAAACTACAAAAAAAAAAACCCAAGTTTCTTCCGTGACACCTGGAACCCCAGCCACCTAATAGCTTGCGCTTGAGATTGTAGCGATGCCAATCGGACTTGTAATGGAGCTTTTGCTCGGCATCGTCTTTGAATTCTTTGTTGCAAGAGTTGCAGGTCAGGCCCATCAGTTTGGCACTCACCGGCGGGATCGAGATTGATCGAAGTGAGAGACGAAGAGACTATGTAAGAGGAGAAAGAGGAAATCGAAAAAGGAAGGCACCGATGGCAAAGTTTATACGACTCGCGGGCGGCGGCTCCTCAATCGGTTCGAAGAGTTGTAGGTCAGGCCCATCAGTTTGGCACTCACCGGCGGGATCGAGATTGATCGAAGTGAGAGACGAAGAGACTATGTAAGAGGAGAAAGAGGAAATCGAAAAAGGAAGGCACCGATGGCAAAGTTTATACGAATCGCGGGCGGTGGCTCCTCAGTCGATTCGAAACTGTGGGCAACCTATGTAGCAGTAGAATCATTTTCACTATCACGGTGCCTTTTTCAGCGTTCCCCAACTCGCCGCCAGAGCCGTTGGTCTCCATAACAGCCTTTCTACATTCTACTGGAGGCAAAGGACAGAGAGGATTTCGATTCTAGGAAACCGAGTGAGAGACCCTTATCGTGTCCGAGCTAGAATGCTGAACAAGAAATCGCATCCACGGCGGCGAATACAAACTGCGATACTGGTAGGGACGAATCCGCTGGAGCATGAACTGGAGGAGACTAGAGAGGAAAGCTACACATTCAGCTATTCTCCAGTGACATATTTTAGGGTTTCGGTTCCGATGCAGTTCACAGGGAAATGGTTTTAGAGTTACCGAGTGAGAGGTAGGGTTAGGGTTTAATTGTGCCGGGTTAATTTGGGAATTTCCTAATTACGGGTGAGTTTAATCTGAAACTCAGTTAACGTCTGTAATTTTCTCACTTTATGTCGAAATTCGACACCGCCTGAACCGATAGTTCACATTTTTAATCCTCATCGATAATATGGTGGAACTTGACCCAAGGGTATAATAGTCATTTTGACTTTTGGGAAGAGCGGGGTGTAACATTTCCTCCACACTTATAAAAAATTTTGTCCCCGAAATTTGATCGGGCGCATCCTTCCATACTCCTCATTCTCGTGCTTCTTTAGCTCAAGATTTCACTCTTTCTATATGAACTTCAATGGCGTGCCCTTACCTAGGGATGGCAATTTCGACCTGACCCGATTTACCCGACCTGTTTGACCTGTTTTGGGCATGTCAAACCCGCCCCGTAGGCGGGGCGGGGCGGGCATGGGTACCTCTCATCGAACCGACTTGCCCTGACCCGCCCAATTCTCGACCCGTTCTTGCCATTATTACATATAATATTAGTCAAATTACTTAGGATTTTCCTCTTATTACATTATATTTTAGCTATAATAAAGTTGTAAATAAGTGAAAACCTCAATTTCTTCAATAATTTAAC